CCCCCCCCCAGAATGTTGATGTACCAGAGCAAGGCCGAGCGGGAGCCCTTTGACGTCATCGACCTGGACCCCTACGGGAGCCCCTCCCCCTTTTTGGACGCGGCCGTTCAGGCCGTGAGCGAGGGGGGTGAGTTCGGGGGGGGCTCAAGGGACCCCCCAGATGCTCCCTCGACCTCCCCTGACCCCCCCCCTTTAATTCCCCAGGGCTGCTGTGTGTGACCTGCACCGACATGGGGGTGATGGCCGGGAACAGCCCCGAGACCTGTTACGGCAAATACGGGGCCGTGTCCCTCAAGGGCAAGTTCTGCCATGAGATGGTGGGTCTGGGGGGGCTCTGAGGGGTGCCCGGGGGGCTCTGGGGGGATCCAGGCTGGTCCCGGTGTCCCTGGGGAATGGGGGATTAGGGGGGGTTAAGGAACATCCTGATTTTCCTGTTTGCGCCCCAGTTATGGGACCAGTGAAGGACCCACCAGTGCTGGGCAGTGCTGGGGTCTGGGGGGGGGTTCTGGGGGGGCCCCGGGGGGGGTTTTGGGGTCCCCATCATCCCCTTTGTGTCCAGGAACTGATCCCAGTGTCCCCAGAGGGGGGCTCAGGGCCCATCCTGCCCCCTCCCCACCCTCCTCCAATTCCAGGACCCCACCAGTCCTTCCCACTGCAAGGATGAACTGTGACGCCCACGGGGGGGTGTTTTTGGGGTCCCCAGCATCTTGGGACCCCCCTTTTTGCATCCCAGAACTGATCCCAGCATCCCAAGGGGGGCTCAGGGCCCATCCTGCCCCCTCCCCACCCTCCCCCAATTCCGGGACCCCACCAGTCCTTCCCAGTGCAGGGGTGAACTGTGACCCCAGGGGGGTGTTTTTGGGGCCCCTGGGGAGGAACTGTGACCCCGGGGTGTGGGGGTTGGGGTCCCCATCATCCCCTTTGCATCCAGGAACTGATCCCAGTGTCTCTCAGGGCCCATCCTGCCCCCTCCCCACCCTCTCCCAATTCCAGGACCCCACCAGTCCTTCCCAGTGAGGGGGTCCCTGGGGGAGAACTGTGACCCCAGGGGGGTGTTTTTGGGGTCCTCAACATCTTGGGACCCCCCTTTTTGCATCCCAGAACTGATCCCAGCATCCCAAGGGGGGCTCAGGGCCCATCCTGCCCCCTCCCCACCCTCCCCCAATTCCGGGACCCCACCAGTCCTTCCCAGTGCAGGGGTGAACTGTGACCCCAGGGGGGTGTTTTTGGGGCCCCTGGGGAGGAACTGTGACCCCGGGGTGTGGGGGTTGGGGTCCCCATCATCCCCTTTGCATCCAGGAACTGATCCCAGTGTCTCTCAGGGTCCATCCTGCCCCCTCCCCATCCTCCTCCAATTCCGGGATCCCACCAGTCCTTCCCACTGCAGGGATG